CCGCGGAGGGGGGACTGGTACGGGGCCATGAATAATTCATCTTAAATCTGCAGGTAATATTAACACTGAGCGGGGGGGGGGGCGGCATCGTCATCCTCATGGTAGGCGAGAGGCCATTAAACAACACCTTCTTTATGTCACAATTCATAAACAGTAGTTGGCGACTGTCCTCCTTTTCTAGGGGAAGAGAATCTTGGCCGCACTCGCTTTTTTGTTGTCGGAAATGTTGTTGCTTCTTCTTTGGAAATTTGCTCAATTGATTTTCACGCGAAAGAATACGTCAACCCGGCCACCAAAATCTGACACGTTAATGGCAGCTTTCATTAAAAGTTACCTTGTGATCCCGCCACGAAGGCTCTTGTGCAGGAGCTTCTTGTTATAGGGTGACAACACTCTGTTTGATGGAGACCACAAGTGGCCACTTCAGCACACATTAGACATAGTCCACTGTTGTCACCGTCAGGAAACCCATCATCGTGTCATATGGTTTCCAATGGAGACTGCAAGTGGCCACTTCAGCGCACATTAGACATAGTCCACTGTTGTCACCATCAGGAAACCCATCACCATGTCATATGGTTTCCAATGGAGACTACTTGTGGCCACTTCAACACACATTAGACTTGGTCCACTGTTGTCACCGTCAGGAAACCCATCACCGTGTCATATGGTTTCCAATGGAGACTACAAGTGGCCACTTCAGCGCACATTAGACTTGGTCCACTGTTGTCACTGTCAGGAAACCCATCACCCTGTCATATGGGCTTTGATGGAGACTACAAATGGCCATTTTACCACATAATACAGGCATGGCTGACAGCTGTTACCATCAGGAAACTTGTCTCCATGTCATATGGTTTCCAATGGAGACTACTAATGGCCACTTCAACACACATTAGACATAGTCCACTGTTGTCACCGTCAGGAAACCCATCATCGTGTCATATGGTTTCCAATGGAGACTGCAAGTGGCCACTTCAGCGCACATTAGACATAGTCCACTGTTGTCACCATCAGGAAACCCATCACCGTGTCATATGGTTTCCAATGGAGACTACAAGTGGCCACTTCAGCGCACATTAGACTTGGTCCACTGTTGTCACTGTCAGGAAACCCATCACCCTGTCATATGGGCTTTGATGGAGACTACAAATGGCCATTTTACCACATAATACAGGCATGGCTGACAGCTGTTACCATCAGGAAACTTGTCTCCATGTCATATGGTTTCCAATGGAGACTACTAATGGCCACTTCAACACACATTAGACATAGTCCACTGTTGTCACCGTCAGGAAACCCGTCACCATGTCATACGGGCTTCAAATGGAGACTACAAGTGGCCATTTTACTATATAATACAGGCATGGTCCACTGTTGTCACCATCAGGAAACCCATCACCATGTAATATGGGCTTCCATTGGAGACTACGTGTGGCCACTTCAGCACACATTAGACATGGCCTACTGTTGTCACCATCAGGAAACCCATCACCGTGTTATGTAATGTATTTTTTATATTTCTGTTCTCTAATAAAAAACACTTTAATGCTGATCTCTCTGTAGCATGACTGGTCTTGTCTCCGCCCCCTTCCTGTAGTGGGTGGGGCCTGCTGAGGCCCTCCCACACCTTTACTCTCTGCACAGGCTATGTACAGCACAGTGATTATGTCATTGCTACTGTTTCAAATGAATAACTAGGGTTGCAAAGTGTTTTGGTGTACACAGAGCGGGGTTGTATCCTTTATGCGTATTTAGGAATGGTAATATTTGGGGGTTTTCAAAGCATTTAATGGTTTTATATCCTTTGCATCCATTAATGGGATATTAAATGATTTGAATTACTAATGCCGTGCCCTCGTCACACGTGCTCCTTATCCCTCATCTTCCTTTAACAAATGAGCACCATGCATTTCACAGTTTTGGATCCTTCCGGCATTGACTTCCTGTGCAGTATTCTGCATTTTTGGCTGTAAAGGAAGTTGATACTTGAAGACCGCAGGTCTGGATGGGGAGCAGGTAGCTGTATAATACCCAGTGACTGCAAGACCCACTCTGATCAAATCTGAAAGGGGTAGTATCTCCCCTTAGGGCACATGTGCCCAACTCAAGGCCCAGGGGCCGAATCCGGCCCACCAGGCCGTTTCCTAGACTCATACTTTCAGATCTCGGTATTAAGTTATTACTACAACCCGTGATAATGGAATGCCGAGGCAATGATGATAAAGATTAGACACATTTATATGGTCTTACAGATATCTTTGAGGGCAACCATAATGTTGATGCGGCATATGCCGCCGGGTCCCCTCCTCTCTCCTGATACTGTCGGGCGTTCGGTCCATGACCGAGCGCCCGACTTTTCGGAGGGGGGGGGACACCAAAATGACTGTGAGTCATTTTGGTGTCACCCCTCAAATGGTGTCACCCGGGTGCGGGCCGCACCCCCCTTGTGACGCCACTGTATGCACCCCCAGCCCAGACCCCCCACATTGGAGGATATTAAAGGAGAACTATGAGATGAGTGATTTCCACTCACCTCATAGTTCTAAGCCGACCTGTGACAATGAGACTGTCACAGGTCGGCTCAGTAGATCGGGAGGTGAGCGAACACATACCGGCGTTCGCTCACCTCTCGATCCTGTCACGGCTCTCTGCCGTGACAGGGGGAGGGGCTGGATTCCCCTCTCCGATCTGCCAGCGCTGACTGGTGGAACGGACGGGGGAGGGGGCGGGTACAGCTGGCTCTGCCTCTAGATAGGCAGAGCCAGCTGTCACTCACGCAGCTGGGCGGATCCCGTCATCTAAGTCGGGATCCGCTCCGGCTGCGGCGTCTCAGTATACCGCGAGCTGTAGCTCTCTATATACTGAGCTTAGGGTGACGGGAGGACGCTAGTTTGTGTCCTCCCGTTACCCTATGGAGAACTATGGGGGAAAGCCCTGACCCCATAGTTCTCCTTTAATAAATAGTAAAATAGGTCAATGGCCAGATTCTGCTTATTGTGCATGTTTTTTTTCTGGTATACAAGAGAAATGAATATTTTGAGCGGCAAATATGAAAGAACGTTGTATTTTCAGGCCAGTTTCAAACATTGTTTGGTTTCCCTCCTGGACAGGTTTTTTTTTTTATAAATGTCCCCGTTTGCGTCCAAAACAAGTAATACTTATGAATCATAGCGTTTGACTGATATAAACCCTGACTGGCTCATTGATTTCTCTCTCCGCAGAGCTCATGGAGTCCCGCACCGCACGTTTTTTCAGCTTTGGCTTTAACACAAGCGACTACCGGATCCTCCTCCTGGATCAGGATCAGGACCGGATGTACGTCGGGAGTCGCGACTACCTGCTGTCAATGGACCTGGGCAACATCAATCGAGAGCCTTTAATTGTAAGCCAGGAAACGAGGGTGTTATGTGCTGCCAGTGGGAAGGTTTGCTGCGCGGCTGAAGAATCTTATACTGCTTCTAATTCATCTACCAGCCAGACTATGTGGCATAGGAAAGCTTCGCCTTGTTTAAACGCTGAATATTCCATTTCAATGGCAACGCAGGACACTGTTGAAATGAGTGAAC